TCGTTCAAATACACAAGCCTGTGTCATATTGATTGTATACCAAGAAAAAGTTGTGTTGCTGTGTAGAGCTGAGCATACGGCAACTTTTGATTCCATAGACCAGCGCACAATTCATTACGTAGATCTACGTCAAGACTAGCTTATTATTGTAATAATGATCAGTTGCCAGGGGGAAAAAGACCGACGCTTATGCGACGTTCAAAGCCCGGACCGATAGTGCCCCCCACCACCCTCCCCGACATGCACACAGCCACACGTGTGCAGGCCGCCCATCCGACCCCGACACATGCTAACGAGCCATCTTTAATTGCTTCTGAAGACCTCTTGATAAATAAACATTTATTAGAAGTGCTTTAACTTTTCAGGCCGGCCTCAAATTCATCATAAGATTAAAACTCAGCTCCTGCACAAAACGCCTTTTTGCCCGAAGTGATCCCGGTCTCTACCCAGCCTGAGGCGAGTCACGAGTGAGGCAGGACAGGAAGCCGGATTCACGAGTCACAGGAAGCCGAAAGTGATGTCATGCTGGACAAGAATCAGAGTCCGAATAACATTTTTTCATATTCGGACTCGAGTCCGAATAATCACTTCGTTTCCTCTGTTTCAGAGTTGGAGGAATCACAATTTGAAGAAAAAAGCAATGCATAATTTCAATCGAGCAGTGACCCTCTCTATTTCTCTGCCTTTCTCTCTCTCTCTCTCTTCTGTGTATCGCTCGCCTTCTGAGGCCTTCTCTTTTTCTTTGTTTGTCTGTCTTTCTCTCTCCCCACCTATTTCCCACTCTATCTTTCTCTCGTTCCCTCCTGCCAACTGGACTTCTAGCACCTCTCTCTCTCTCTCACACACACACCCAAACACACTATACCGGGGCGGGTCTGGGCGCTGAAACTTTCCGAAATCACAAAAGAGTTCCCCTATCGGGTCTGTATACTTCGTGACTTTGTTCACGGTTACCGGGTCTACACTTAGTTCTAGATCTAGTATTCACACAGTATTCACACACCCTGTGCGAATAAAATTTCACTATATTCGCAGTATTCACACACCCTGTGCGAATAAAATTTCAGTATTCGCACACCCTGAGCGAATACAATTCCATAGTATTCACACACCCTGTAACTCTGGACCCAAAAATTTGCTCCTTCCCAGACCTCGTGGAATGGCAGAGGCTGAATAAAAGTTGGCTTCGAACTCTCGCAATAAATAGGCAAAAAATCACGAGATCGGAAGCCGGAAACCGTTCGGAGAAATAAAGGTCGGCACTATTTCTCTGAAGGCCACCTCTATTCTCACCCGGGATGAGAATAGTGCAGGCGAGTCTTTTGGCTATTCTCACCCGGTGCGCGTTCACCGTTATAGCCTAGATCTAGGCCAACAAATTTTGCGTTCACCCTAAACCACAAAATTCTACACTGTGATAACAGAAAAATTGTAGAATTCTGTGCCGTGAACAAACGTTCCATTACAACTGTAGCCTAGGGCCTACTAAAGACTAAAAGCGTACAATTTTGTCTGTGGGCAGTGGAGAGAGAGAGAGGAGTAGCGCGAGAACTTCCGGTCAAAACAAAACGCAGTGGCTATCTTTACGGCACGCCGTAAAAATAGCCTGGGAGGCTATCTTTACGGCTCGAAAAGCGACCCTACTCCGCCTCTCATGTACGCGACATGCCTCAATGAATTAGATCTAGGCCTATAGTAGGGACCGTTCAAAACACAAACTTACACCTCAGAGGGGA